GGGGGGGGGGGGGGGGGGGGGGGGGGGGGGGGGGGGGGGGGGGGGGGGGGGGGGGGGGGGGGGGGGGGGGGGGTGCTATTGGAATGCTGCTAATGTTGTGGGTCTGCCACCCAGTCAAGCGCTTTTCTGGTGCACCGCGTTTGCACACAAAAACAAAAGCAGTCTTCGCCGGTTAATGTTTTGTTTGTGGAAGGAGAAATTTCCTATTTTCCGAGAGAAATTTACGATTTCTTGGAGACGTGTCTGGTCTGTCTCTCCTCTCTTCCTTTGGGTCAGGCTTTGTTTTCACGCCCTTTCAAATGTTTTCGGACGATTTGTGCAATGCTAATTCTGTTGCTACAAAAGACCACGATTCTCGAGATGTCCTAACAAGCGTCGTCGTGCCCGAGTGGTTAAGGGGATGGATTAGAAACCCATTGTGATTTCACGCGCAGGTTCGAGTCCTGCCGACGACGTTCTTTTGGATCTATTTTTTTTATATTTTATCTCGGCCGTCTTCCTATTCACAGTGTAACCATGTATAAGGATTCTTATTTATTACTTCGTATCGAGTTGGGGGTCCAAATCTTGGTGAAGGTATGCATGCAACGCGGGAGTAGTTACTGTCTGCGTGCCCCCCAAATCGGAGCTCTTCGGTTGGATATCCAGGATCGTCAGGATGTAGTGAATCGTGCTTGACACAGAACTTTCCCACGCCGAGTGTACCTACCAACCCCCACCCCCCCACCCACCTACGCTTGATGCTGCTCCTCGGCAAAGCCAGCGTCCGCCGTACGTGTGCCATTTCTTGTCGTCCTCTTGGTTGAATGAGTGAATGAACCACGAGAGCGTTTTTTCCTTGTCCTTTTTTTTCTTTTTCTTATTTACCACCAGCTCCACACGGACTTTTGTACCCCCTTGATGCCGACATGTTTGTGTTCTTGTGCCGCCTGCACCGGGTCTTGGTCGTTAGCGGTTGCTGTCTTCGCGCTGGCCGGATCGGGTGCGCGTCTTCGACTCTCTGGTGGAGGCCTGCGCGGCCGCCGCAGCCGCAGGGGGCGCAAGGGGCGGTAGGAGGGAGAGGCGGGCGGAGAAGCACACGGCGTCAGCAGCAGCAGCAGCAGCAGCAGTTGCAGTAGCGGCGTCACCGGTAGTGGCGGCGGGGCCAGCTGTAGCAATATCAGCAGAACCAGCACAAGTCCCAGAACCGTTTCAAGCACCGTTCCAAGTACCGTTCCAAGCCCCGGTCCAAGCACCGGTCCGACAACCGGTCCTAGCACCAGTCCCAGGACCGGTCCAAGCACCGTTCCCAGAACCAGGCGGGTCAATACCGCATCCATTCTTACCACAAGCACCGCCGCCACCCCAACCAACACCGCCAGAAGCAGCAGCAGCAGCAGTAGCAGCAGCAGCAAGATGGAGCTCAGGGCGAGGGTCAGGCGGAAAAGGACCAAAGGGGGAGGCGGTGGCGACGGTGGTGGTGCTCGGAGGGACGCACGACGCCGGGAGGGGAGGTCTGCGTTTTTCCGGGAGGGGAATGAGAATTGTCGGCGTCAGCGGTAAGCAAACAGGAGGGGGAGTTAATTTTTTTTGTAAAGGGGAGACATGGGTATGTCGGGAAGGAAATGTTGATGTTGTTCTCCAAAACGCCGGCTAACATTTTTTCCCGTGGAGGTCGAAAAAACGTTTTTTTTCCTGGTACAAATCTATGACGGCTGTACCCGTAGATCCGGCGGTGTGTTGGATGCTCATCCCGCCCCTGCCTTCCGTTATTGTTGTTGCTGCTGCTGTTACTGCTGGTGTTGTTGCCGCCGCCGCTGCTGCTGCTGCTGTGAGGTTGTTTTCGCTGTTGCTGTTTTGTCGCTGGCGGTCCTTCATGTTGCCTTCTACCTCCTTCGCAAAATCTCCGTTTGTTGTCGTTCTTGTTCTTCTTGTCAATTACGAAGTACTTCATAATAAAGTATATTTTGTGTCCGTTGCTGTAGTAGGGTTGTGGTAACGTTACACCATGACCGATGCACTCCCTCTCGCCAAAACCGAAGAAATGCTTCATTTCAACCTGCCGCCGCAGCGGCCGATGGACGCCTACCGACGGTCGAGGGTCGCCGTTGCTCCCACGCGATCAAGTGCACCGGCAGAGGCATCTCGATTACATCCCTGCGGGTCGTCGCCGGCGCCTCCACCAACATCGACAACGACGAGGACCGCCATCACGCCCCATCATCGCCAACGCCAGCACCAACACCAGCAACTGAGCCGCCAACACTAACACCAACAACGAAGACGACGACGACGACGACGACGACAATAGTCCAGGACGGGAAACGTGCTGCTGACGACCACCATCACACCCTAGCACCAGCACCGGCAATAGCACGCAGGCTACCGACACCGACAACGACAACGAAGACGACAACAGCAACAGTCCGGGACGGAAAGTGTGCGACGGCTACAGCTATAGCTGCTGAAGGTGGAACCCCGAACAACACCAACAGCGATGACGACCACCACCGTCACGCCGCACTAACGCCAACGCTAGCGCCAGCACCGGCAGCCGCACCCAGGCTGCCAACACCAACACCAACAAAAACAACGATAACTGCAGCCCGGGGCGGAAAATGTATTACGGCTACAGCCGGCTTGGCAAGGAACGGAGGCGTTGTTGGTGGCGGACCGGGGGGAGGTGCTCGGAAAAAGCGTCCCCGCCTGGTTTTCGATCGTAACGCCGCCCAGGTATGTGGGGCTCCAATGGGAAGGGGCGTGCGGGAAGGATTGGTGAAGGGGTGTTGATTAGGGATATGGAGGGTCGGCGATGGGGTACGCGAGGGAGATGGGTTTGTGCTCGGGAGGCGCATTTCTCGTACGTTTGACGGTGTTGCTCACGTGGCGTCCACACTTTTTTTTTTTTTCGTGTTATTGGAGCTGTTCAGTTGGGCCCAAAGTCATCTTCCGACCCCTGGTGCAGGAAAGGCCTCGCGGCGTCCTCGGCCATGATTGGTTCAGATACGTGCTCTGCACGGCTGTTGTTCCACAGCAGGGGTGACCAAGGGCTAGCAGATCAACCATTTGTTTTTCTTTCTTTTTCGACGATAACAATCTCCGGGGAGAAGCATCATCTTGGCGATGCCGGGGCAGAGGGTGATGATGCTCGTTTGTTTTGTCACTTTTTGCGGCTCTGCAAGAGACGATCGTCTTGATCCTACCGAAATCATGAAAGAGAGAGAAAAAGGAGAAAAAGCGGAAGGGGGGTTGGCAGTCGTACACGGCCCTATTACACATGCCTCGGTGTGCATGACCACATCACGCCATGTTGCGCTAGGTAAAGTGACGCGACAGCCACCAACCACATTGTTTCACTGTTGCTACCGCGTCGTGTTCTTCTGCTCATGCTATTTACCACGAGCAGCTGGTGCGAGACTCAACAGCAGCGGCAGCGGCGGCATCGGTGGATAGCTCCAAGCGCCAACGACGGCGGCGGCGGGTATCGAGAGATAAAGCTTCCCACTTCGTCGAGACCCGCCGGGGTTTGGCACCGGCGCACGCCATCTCCGTGGAAGGAGGGTCCGTAACCATCTCGGGCTGCGATGTTTCCAGGTGCCATTTAGCCGGCAGGCACGTTGCATCGTTTCGTTGTGGTTGGTCTCTGTGGTCACCCCAGTGGCACACTCGGGTCTAGGGCCTACCGCAAACAAGCTGAGTACACGAAAGAAGGGCATCCGTCCCGTGCAAGCGAACTAGGGTCTTGAGCAGCAGACACCGCAGACAAACGCGCTCCGGCCGTGAATAAAATTGTCAAGGGACCCCCCTTGTTCGTTTCACTCGAGGCTGACTCCTTCCTTCGCCTGCAGCCGTACTGCCCAGCCCCTTTCTGTCGCGGTGGTGGCAATTACTGCTTGTCCAGCCCAAACCAGGTTGTGAAGCCCGCCTCAAACGTGTGTCTCCCTCTATCTCGGGCCTACGGCATATGTACCGTAAGCTAGACACTTTTCCAGTGGACCCTTAGACTAGTCAGCTCTGACTAGTCTGATGGTTTGATTTCGTTTTTTAACCCCCAACCGCTCGCTTCACGTTCCAGCCGCCTTCCCTGCGCTTGCGTTTGCGCGGCCGGCGGAGGAACCCTCGCTCGGCTGGAGCACACGCGAATGTCCGACGGTCTTGGCATGGGGCTGTTGGTTTGCGGAAAGGCGGAGGCGTCGGCGTCGGAGTGCGACTTTGAGGGGATGGGGGCCGCGGGTGAGAGACGGGGAGGGGAAGAGGGGGGTGTACTCATAGTCGTGCATGCCGTAGTCGTTAGACCATTGACCTCGCATCCCTACAAAGCCGGGACGGAGCACGCCGGGT